CAAAGTCACTCCCACCTTCCTCCGGACATCGACGGCTTCAGGCCAGAGCCCCCTGGGTGAGGGGCTGGAAGGAAAAGGAAAGCCAGTCAGAACCCAGAAGGGCATCTGGCTGGCAGAGAGAGCAAAGCGGGGGTAAGTGGGCCCTTCTTTGAAAGAACTGTAAAGTAGCCATCGGCAACCTTTCTTGCTCTTGTGTACCCTAAAGAATTTTGAAAATTTATGTGTACCCTTTTGCATATGTAAGTTCAACATCTAAAAATTTTCACTGTAAGTTAAAATAGTTGCAAAGAGTACAGTTTCTGATTATAAGCAATTGCTTAAACTATTACGTCACTCATAAATGTGACGTAATAGTTTGAAATGCAAACCCCATTGCCATTAGACACCTAACTGCATCTAGTTAAAAACACAAACGTCTACTAAAGTCAGAAATTTCTTGAGCTTGTATTTCCCTTTCACTCTTCCAACTAGAATTTTACTACCCAAATTTTACCCTAATGTCACATATATTTAGTCTTGAAAGTTTCTTATTGATCACTTATAATTCTCTATAATATTTATAAATTTGGTTAAATTTTCTGTGACCATAAAGCTCTAAGTGTTAAAAAAATTTTTATTCTGCATTGCATTACAATTAGTATGTAATTGATCAAAACAGAATAGAAATATTGATGATTATTAAATATGAGCAAAATTTTATTCAAAATGCATCCCAGTTATAGGTGAGGGAGCTGGCTCATGCTTCCACGGATGAATCTTGGTAACTGTTAGTTTCAGCACCAATTCCATCCCTTTTTAAAATTTCTACAAGTATTAAGCACTGAGAAACATTCTCATAAATGAACATGGGGATGGAAGTTTTGTAATAGCAGTACTTCTGAATTCTTTGAACTCCTGAATTATACACCAAAAGTAATATAGTGATCTATTACCACAATTATTTTTAATGACCAACAACTCAACTGTTTCCTCCTTCAATCCGGTTAAAATAAAGACTCAGAAAACTGGTAACTTGCAAAAGAGACTTGATTTGTTACCCAGCCACTGGAGTCACACTCGCAACATCACCACCCAGAGGTGGTCCACAGTCTGACTAGAACGGGTGGGCACTGCCCCTCCTTTGAGTAGAAGAAGGTCCGAGGGCATCCCCGAGCCAGGTGTGTTCTCAGGCTGCTCGACTACAGAAGTGTCACGAAGCCAAGGAGCTAACAAATGATTGCCTTCAAACTATTAAGTGGGCTGGTGCCCCAGGGGATCTCCCTGCCCCCAGGTCGGTGAGCTGGGACCTCCGCTGTGCAGCTGTAAAGACTAAGATGACCCTCTTTGCAGCCCCTCATCTGCACGGCACTAACAAGGAGGATGGCGCCCCTCTGTGTAAACAAGCCAGCCTGGCAAGAGTCAAATTAAGTGCTCAGATGGAATGACCCTGAGAATAGTGAGAGCTCGGAGCCGTCTGGTGGGCTCCAGGAACAGACCCCTCTGAGCTCTTTCTCTGCATGCCCCCACAGCCTGGGGGACGCCTGACCCAGAAGTGGGGCCAACGACACTCTCGGCCCTAAAATCTGGGGCTGACTTCCAGGAGCTGCACAGCCGTTTCCGACCACATGCAAGGAGAGACAGAAAACGCTGGTCCACAGAAACAGAGACTCAAACAGCTACACGGCCAAGAGAGACAAAAAGGACGACCACCTCGGTCCCAAAGGTAGTCCTTGTGAGGCCCAACCGTGCTTGGGCCCTGGAAAATGCCCCTGTCTGCAGAGGCGGGTTGGAACGAGTTTCAGGGACCTGCAGTGGGCAGAGCGGCGGCTCTGACAGGAGGCGGCAGAGGTGGCTCCTGAGGATGTCAGCCCGAGGGACCCGGGACCTCAAGGGCATCATCGAAAAGGACCTGGACACAAGTGGGCAGAGTACATGAACAGACAGTCCCCCTCCAACCAAAAAAATCACGCGTACCTTTAAAGATCAAAAAGATTAATAAATTAAAAATAAAATGTTAAAAATTAAGAATAAACTTTAAATAAAAGAAGGATATCCAATATCACTATTACAACGAAAAGGCAATTTAAACCAAAGAAATGTCATCACTTACCAGTCTGGCACAGGAGAGGGGGGACGGGCGGCCCCCTGGTGGCAGCACCGTCCCTTTCGGAGAGGAGCGGCTATCGAAGTGCGGGGTGTGGTCTCTCTGCCTTGTAGGTCTCACTTCTAGACATCACCCTACAAATACACTCGATAATATAAAAGATGACGTAAGATTACACATTAAAGTAGTGTTTGTAAAAGCAAAAAATGTAAGACTAAATAATCACCAGAAGATTAGTTAAATAAACCATGGCAGGTTCATATGACGGAACACAGGGCAGAGCAACGGAGCAGAGAGCACTCGCCACACTGTGAGCAGTGAGAAGGTACAGCATCACTCAGGCAAAATAAAACCAGCGGAGAAGGAAAATGCACCTCCGTGTACGAACAGAACACACCTCGAAGCAAACTGGGGAAACTACAAGGCCAGCACGGAGTGCCTTGAGTGGCAGAAAGTGAAGAAATGCTCAGAGACCGACAGGACCGTGTTGACCGGCCCCAGGAACCAACTGCGGGCTGGACTGGGGCATCGGAATGAATGAGAGACGGTTACTCACCGAAGGAGAAAATTACACTGTAACGTCTTCAAAGGGGGGTACTCATCCTCACAGAAAAACGTCCACATTGTAGAAGAAATCATAGAAGAGGAAACCATTTTACAATCACCTTAGAAACAAATGATTCAAAAAACCAAATCACCAATGAACACTAACACTGGGTGCAAAACTATTGAAGACAGGATATTCCCAGTCTCAAACATCACCCCACAGGTTGCTTACTAATTACAAAGGGGAAGAGGTATCTTTCCAAGGGAGAAATCTGACAGACAACATCTTAATTATCTAACTCAAATCACCAATAATGGGATAAACTGGTACCAAGTACCACCTGATAAACAATAAGGATAGGACACAATCTACAAAGAATTTCTGACAAAAATGTTTCACTCGAATCCAATCATAAGGAGACAATGAGACAAATCCACGTTGAAGGACACCCTGCGCAACACTGGCCTCAACTCTCCAAACAGGTCCGTGTCGTGAAGGACGCTGGGAACCATTCTGGATGATAGGACACTAAAGGATGTCACAGCTAAATGCAACGTGTGACCCTTGAGTGGATCCTGAATCCAAAGCAAAACCAAAAACCAACTGCTGCTAAGAATGGTGGATCTGATTTACAGTCTGCAAGTTCCTCAAAAGTTAAATATGTGAGTACCACATGACCCAGGATTTCCACTCCTAGGGGTACCCCCAAGAAAAATAAAAACATGTGCCCGTACAAAAACTTGTATACCAACATCCATAAAAGCATTATTCATGAGAACCAAAAAGTGGAAATAACCCAATGTCCATCAACTGATAAACAAGATAAAATGTGGTGTATCTGTCCTGGCTGCTGTGGCTCAGTGGATTGAACGACGGACTGTAAACCAATGGGTTGCAGGTTTGATTCCCAATCAAGGCACATGCCTGGGTTTTTGGGCCAGGTCCCCGGGAGGGGGCCCAAAAGAGGCAACCACACATTGGTGTTACTCTCCCTCTCTCTCCCCCTACCCCTTCTAAAAATAAATAAAATCTTTTTTTTTAAGTGGGATATCCATACAATGAAAAATTATTCACCTATAAAAAGGAATGAAGTACCGATATATACAACATGGATTAACAATATCGCATATTGTGATTATTTTATATGAAATACCCAGAAAAAAACAAACCTGTAGAGACAGAAATCAGTGGTTGCCTAGGGCTAGGAAGTAGGGTAGGGAAGGGGAGTGACTGCTAATGGGGCACAGGGCTTCCTCTTACAGCAGTAAAAATGTTTTAAACCTGATCTGTGGCGTCAGGGGGTGGAGACATCGAGCAAAAAGGAAAACGGACTCACGGGCAGTATGGTGATCACTGGCGGAGGAGACTAAATGATAACAGAAAAAAACCACAATGAAGATTTCTAAAAGTAAAGAAATAAAAAATGTTTTGTGGCAATGGTGGAATCACTCTGACTGTAGTAAAAACTACTGCATTGTACAGTAGTTTAAAACAGGTGAATTACGTGTCATGTGAATTATACCACAATAAAGCTGTAATTTTAAAAGACAAATTTTCAAACAACACATTATCAGGACAGCTGGGGAGAATTAAGCACAGACTATATATTAAACATTAGTAATGTTATCAGTTAACCTGGGTGTGACAACCACAGTATGTCCTTACCCTTGGGAGACGCTGACTTAAGTGCTTATGGCTGAATCACAAGTCTAGCCTGATCATAAATGATTCAGCAAAAACCAAATGTGTATGCGCACACACATCACGTGCCTGTGTTTGAGAGCAGGAACAAGCAAAGGTGGGAATATACTGATAGATAACTGGAGATCTAAGTAGAGGATGTACAGGTGCATTTTGTACTATTCTTACAATACTTCTGGGATCTGACATTTTTCAAAATAAAAACTTGGGGAAAAATACCGAAGAATAAAGTTTAGACTTGTACAGACAAATAAAGGCTCCCTGGCTTGTAAGAACACTATTACTTTCCAACACGATTTTACCCTCAGTAAGAAATCACCGTTCTTTGCTATGGCACGATACAGACCACCGCTTCGTATATAATAAAATTCCACCGCTTTCCAGCATTAATTGGTATGTGAGTCTACCGACTGTGACAGCACCAGAAATTAATGACGAAATGAGCTGTGTGTTGAGACACATTTCACTAACGGGCAAGCAGGTTTCCTGTAAGGAACCATATGCTACTATTACGTCAATATGCCATTAGCCTCCTGTTACTTGACTTTGAAGAACCATTTTGTAAAGATTATGCGGTACCAAATTGAAAAGAAAGAAATTAGACTCAGGCTTAAAATGCTTCTAGTATTCTGAAATTATTCTGAAAGATCATTTAAAAAAACTCCAAACTTGAAATTTTTCATTCATGTATTTATTCCACAATCAAAATAAATCATAATTTCAAAAAGTCACAACATTTTTAAAAAGGAGACTTCGTGTCACAGCTTCATTAATAAAACATCGGCCGACAACGCAACACTAAGCAGGTGTTCTGTTCCCACGGTGGAATAAATACATAATAATGACACATAAAATTCACTAAAGATCTGAGATGAGGCAAGTAACCCTTTGAAACAAACTGCCCAATGAATAGAAGCACGCTGTAAATAATTTCTGGTAACGTTTTACGGCAAGATGGGAAAAGCCCCAAGGTAACTATAAATTCAAGCCCCTTGTTTCATGCACCTGGCCTTGGCTTTTGTCTTCCTTCCTCAGACACATTCGAACCAGAGGCTCCTGCACCGCATGCTCACAAAGGCTGCCGTGAGCGAGCCCACTCGCAGCCTCTGCGGGCACCTCCGCGGAACCCGAGGGCGCAGACTCAAAGAGTGGCAGCATTTCTCTGAACGACAGTTTTAACTGCTGAATGAGCTCTCACAGGCCATGTGCATTTCATAAACAAACCAAGTATTGTTTTATTACCATTCTATTCTTTTTCTTGCAAAATGTTAAGGTCATTCAAGTAAAAAAAAAATTTTTTTTACAGAAACAATAAAAATTCAAAGGGTTTAAGCCAAAACCCAGCCCTCTGCAGCCTGGCTCATTTGTTCCTGGGCTGTGAAGCCATGTAGAGGGCAATGAGGCAGTAGATGGTCCCCCCCAGCGTCAGCGCCATGGTGGTCCGGTAGAGCATCTGGTCAGGCAGGCCCCGTTTCAGGTGGATGGGCACACCGTCGGATTTCTTGAAAGAAAGAATTATCAAGGATACGGTCGATAAGAAACGGATATATAATTTAGGCTAATAAAGAACTAATGTTTTTCCTTTGTAACTATCAACACATTACAGTGGAAAAAGCCCTAATCCACTAAAATGCTAATTAAAATACTAGTGTATTTTCTTATAAATGTAACTAAAGCTTGTAAGTCCAAAGTCATTTGCTAAAACAGCCTCAGTACCATGCATACAACAGATTCCAGATTTCTAAGGAATTTGTCGTATTGTTTAACTAGGAGGGAAGCACTGATGAATTTCTTTTAATGCAAAGGTAACCAGCAGCTAACCACAGAACTACAGGCACAAGAAACGCTCCACATTTAGTGTGAATTCCTGATCACTGGCAGATGACATCTGAGCAGACCAGGTCAGCTAACAGGTTCTAACCCATTTTTATATTTAGGGGCCTTCTCTCTCCATTAACCTGTTAAAACCCCTATTTAACAGTGAGACTCCACAGAATGCTTAGTCCGCTTAGTCCATTATTCGGCACTGTCTCCAAAATCCCTCCCCACAGCAACTCCAGACCCCAGGGGCCCACTGGAGACTGACCTGCCAGCTAATAAGGGATAAACTGATCACAAGTCCCCAGGCTGATCCTAAACCTGGAAAAGCTCCAACAACAGAGCCCCGGGCAATGCCTCCCCCAGGGCACCCGAGACACAGCTGGGTCACTGACCTCTCAACTATCTGTATATAGATTAATGTTAACAGTATTTTTAAATCCAACTTTGGCTTCTCTGTTGATCAGCAAACCCAAGAGAGCCTTTTTCACTTCTAGCAACAGCTCAGTGGGTGTTAATATCAAAGAAGCAAAAAGCTAGGGAGAAAATCCGATGTCAAAAGTCACTGCATGTTCACAAAGCCAAATACATATTAGATTATTCACGGTATTAACACACGTTACATGTGCTGTTGCTTCCTCCAGCTGATACATGCAATGTGACAAGCTGCGTCCCTCACATACTGATGAGGAAATTACCCACCCTCTCTGTTTCTACCTACATAGGCTTCTACTAGTTTATGGCTCAAACTAAAATCAAGAGAATTCTATTAAAGAAAAAAGAGAGAAAGTGGGTAGTGAACTAGATTAAGACTTGGTTTCAAAGCGTTTTTTAAACGTATTTACTTTACAGGCGTCTCTGTTCTAGGGTGTCTTCTCTCACCTGGAAAAACTTCTGCAGTTCTGGAACTTTGTTTTTCCCAGCATAGTCATATGCAGTGTAATCCGAGGTCAGTTTCGTTGGTGTGGCAAATATGATAGGCGGTGATTCTGTGGAAACCAAAGGCTTTAATCCCTACAGGAAAAAAGGGAAATGTCAAGTTGAAAGTATGTCTGGCCATCTGAACAAGACTTCCAAGGAGCAGGCTGTCTGGAATAGTGGAGGCAGTCCTATTTGACCACACGAGAGAAGGAAAGTCTCTCCGACTCTGCATTACGATGCCTTTAATCTTTTAAGTTTAAGGTTTAAAGTCTGTAAACTTTCAAAAAAGCACTCCAGTCCATTTTCCCAGAGCAACCCTATCAAGAACTCCTTCCAGTTGAGGACGAGGAAGGGGAGCTTACAGGGAGAGAGGAGCAAACAAAGGCCCAATCTGAGCTAGAAATAACCTGTGTATATCTTCTTATCAAACCGGTAAAACAGTTTAATCTGTATGAACTCTGGTTTGATTTCAAGAGAGCTGGCTGTCCCTTTTCTTCTCTTGGTGATGAGGGACTAACATGGAGCCTCTAACCCCAGAAGATGACTTCAGATTCTTTCCAGACACACACTGAAGAAATAACCCAATCTGGAAGAGCCTGTAATGGTAAAAGACTTGTCTTTCCAAACCAGCCCAAATTAATAAATACAGCAGTCCACCCTCTGGTTCCTGATCTCTTCAAAGGAATCCAAATTTACCTATAATTGACCAAGCCTTTTCTAAAACTCAAATACTGAAAACCTCGATGTTACTCCCACCAGGCAGGCATTAGGATCAACATGGCAACAAGAAGGTATTCAAGTAAACTTGGCATCTATTTCTTCAGACACAGTCCTGTAAGTGGGGCTGAATCACAGCCTTTATTCTGTACTGCATTTACTCATTCACGCATATTACCGAGCACTTACTCTACACTGAAAACAGACACAATCTCTGCTATTACGGATATTATTATGGTGTAACAGAAGCTAATGTCTGAGCCCTTGTTATGTGTCCAGTATCATGTTAATTTAAGCATTTCACACAATTATCTCATTTAATCCTGACAGCAACCCTAAGGAGATGTTCCGATTCCCTTTTTACAGAGGAGAGAACTAGAACGGAGAGGGTAACTTATCTGAGATCACACGGCAAAGAGAGCGTAATGTCAAAACTCAAGCCTCTCTGAAGTCCAGAGCCTTGATTTTTAAATACCTCACCATCTACCCTAGGTTACTGCCCCTCAACTATGGCCTAAAAACAACAATCCATTTAAAGGGAAAGACTGGTCAGTAAGGTGTGAGCCCACAGTTGGTATATAACATATATAAACGGAGTTGCAGGAGGAGTCTGGGATGGGAGGACGGGACCCCAGGTACTGAGATAACAAGGCTTAAAAGGGCCTCTCTTTGAACTAGAGAACTTTATGTACTCCCTTATTCTGTAAGCAATTTGTATTTTCTCCTAATAATCATTTCCCCTTGAATGAAAAAATTTAAAAACCCCACCAAGCATCTCCAAAAATGGTTTGAAATTCATGTTTTGACAGGACTAACGTGAAAGCATTTTGAGACAGCCATTACACCTGACTGCTTTGTGTGTGTTCACGCACCAAGTGATTCAGAACCACATCAAAGGTTTTGAACAATATCATCTCAAAACCTTAACAGTTTTAAATAATTTCATATTTCCATTTATAATACTGTAAAAGTTTAGAATATAGAATTTTAAAGTTATCTATCATCCCATGATCTTATCCCATCAATTATTATAAATTGTATATTCCCTGGTCTTATTTCATAGGCATATTTTAATATCTTTAGAGTCTTAATGTAAAATCCTACATTCTTTCTTTCATTTCTATTTAATATGCAATTTTTTTCAGGTTCTTATACAATCTTCATAACTAAATTTACTCTTCACATCAACCCTGTAAATGAGGTATTGTCAGCCCACATTACAAATGATTAAAAGAAAGTTCAGAGACTCCATAAGGAAGATGCGATTCAAATACCAGAGTATCAATAACTCAGCTGTCTGCCAAGATATAGCTAAAAGGAGTGATTGTGATGGGAAGGGACTTCACCTACTCATCATTAAATCTAACAATTCTTTTACCTTTTTATCTTTATTATTTTCTTTTTATTTTTTAAGAGAGGGAGAGAAACACCAATTGTTGTCCCACTGACTTATTCATTCACTGGCTGATTCACTGGTGTGCCCCACTCAGGGCACATACACAGCCTTGGTATATCGGGATGATGCTCTAACCAACTTGAGCTACCTGGCCAGGGCTTATATCTAATAATTTAAGAGCAGGTGATTTTTTTTCCATGTTCCAAGGCAGCTGGATAGAACTAGCACTAGGGTTCTCAAGAGTGGACTTGACCAGGAAGCTGTAATTACAAGAGGGGTATCAAACCCATTTTCACCACATCAGCCTCGCAGTTGCCTTCAAGGGGCCAAATTTTAGGACTGTATAATGTAACTTCTCCTTAACTAGGGGCGAGGAGCTCTGTGCTGCCGCTGGATAAAACAAGGCGGAGGGCCAGATTCAGCCCACAGGCCTTGCTTTTGCCACCTGCGATTTACAGGAAGGGACCTAGTACAAAATCCGGGGCTATGCCTGTTCCAACCCAGCAAAATTAAGAACCTCAAATACACTTCACCCCATCTCAATAAATGACAATGCCATCATTCCAGGTACTCATGCTAAAAACCTTGGAATTACTCTTATTACCTCTCGCTCACACACCTGCAAATCCCTTTGGCTCTACCTTCAAAATATATTCAGAATCTGACCAGTTCTCACCCATCTCCACCAAGCCACACTCTGGTACAAAGCCCTGGATTTCTACAACTGGTCACCCTGCTTCCCACATTGCTGCCCTACGGTCTACTTACTCTAAATGCAGGAAGCAGTGATTGTGTTAAAACATGCAATGTCACTACTCAGCTCAAATCCTCTCAAAAGGCCTCCTATCTCATTGAGCAAAACTCTAAGTTCTTACAATGGCTTGCAGGGCCTGAGATGCACTCCTCAAACCCCTTCCCCACTTACATCATCCCTTCCTCTGCCCCAGCCCACTGGACTAGCCCCTTAAATCTCCCAAGCACTAAGCATGCTCCCTCTGCTTAGCACGCTCTTCTCCAGGTACGCACGTGGCTTGCACCCTCACCTTCAACTCTTTGTCCACATGTCAACTTCTCGGTGAGAACTTCCCTAAACCACCCTTTTAAAAACTGTATGTCCTCCTGCTTAACCTGCTAACAGTCTATCCCCCTTTTCTGCTTTCTCTTTCTCCACACTACTTATCACCATCAACATACTATTTTCTACTTTGTTCGCTGTGCCTTCCCTACCACAATGAAAGTCCCGTGAGGGCAGGATTTCACCCTTTTCTTCCATGCTCTTATTTCCCAGGACTTACAAAAACAACTCACACAGAGACTGCATTTAGTAAATGTTTGTTGAATGTATAAATAAGCTAAGGAAGTCTTTAGTTTCACCAGTGTAGACAAATTCTTCAGAACTAAATCATGTAAATCAGCCCTGGATGGCCAATGAGAAAACAACTGAACGTTGTTCTTAAAATAAGTGGTCTATGGGCCAAACAGAAAACACAGGTTCTGCTTATTAGCATCAATGGACTCTCCTGGCTGTTGACACAAACAGCCATTCACCTGTAACCACCTTTAGCAGTTGGGTTCTTCCTACTCTATTTTAGTTGCTCCACATTTTTTTTTAGAGAAAAGTAAACATGATTTTTTTCCCCATCAAAGTTGACAAAGAAAAGTTTTTCCTTTTCTCCTACTTCTTGGGTCTGAGGAGGAGGAAGAAAGGTGGAGAAATAAAACTTATTCAAAAAATTATTCATTTTTAAATGACAGAAACCTATGAATTGTTGCACTGTGATTTAGGACTGGAAACAAGTTCAACCCGCGGGGGCTGAAGTCCTCCATTTCTAACCACAAGCCAGACAGACAGTACCGCCTCCATGTTTCCCTGCCATCTCACACTTGGCCTGTCCCAGATTCACCCAGTTTCTCACGTGTCCACTCAGGAGCTTTTTTCCTGTGGAAAGCGTCAGCACCCTCCCACTTCCCAGTCATCTTGAATTCCTCTTTCTTCATCCCTAAAATCTCCCTCCTCAGTCACTAAGTCCTTATCTCCCAGAACTGACTCTGCATTCCTACTCAGAAGACCCTGAACGATTTTATGGGTCTAACAGGCATCCCTGGCACTGGTCTCTCCCAGTTAGATTCATGTTTTCAAAGAATAGCTTCATAAACCTTTCATGAAACTAAGGGTTACAAGCATGTCCTTCTTGCAACCTCTGGACAAGACCCTACCACAATTTTCTGCATTATATTTTTAGGTGTAAACTAGTATCTCATTGGGGTTTTGATTTGTATTTCCCTAATGATTAATGATTTGATCACCTCTTCACGTGTTTATTAGCCTCAATTAGATGGCACCACATGTAAAGGTAAGGAAAATGCTTTTCAACCAACACTCCAAAATACTCCCCCAAATTACTTGCCATCAGTTGATTTATAAATCTCTATGTACACTACTGTTAAAGAACTAGCTTTTCCATATAAGATTAGTCTATGTATGTTCAGTTATTCAGTGCACTTTGCATAATACTGAAAGTTACAAATATGTACATTTTCCAGTGTGCTAATGTTTCCAAGAAAGGAAAAAACTGAAACACTTCACATTACCAAAGTCAGAACACCTGGTTGGCAGGATGCCAGTCACAGTCACTCCAAAATCTATGATTCATATGAAGGCCGCTTGTTATCACCTTGATCAACATAAGAAATCCGTAAGTAACTAAAAAGTTCAAATTCTCAAGAGCAACACAATTCAAGAGGTGCTAGAAACTTGAAAGCCCCAGCTGTACCAAACACATCTCAGGGTAATCTCTGCTCTGACTGCCAATTCAATTTCAGTATGTTTGTTTTAGTCTAAAACTTCACTTTTTCCTCAGTGGGTAACAAAACCTAAGTGCTGCTAAAACTCTACTAAAAGAACATCTACAACCACCAACACAATAGATCGGTTGTGATATATTCGTAGTAATAAATCCTACACAACAATAAAAGAAACTGATCACTAATACATGTAATATGAACTTCAAAAATATTGAGAAAAAGAAGTCTTACACGAAAGAATACTTTGTGGCTCCATCTATAGGGAATTCAAAAGTAGGCAAAACTATTTATAGTAATAAAAATAATAGGGAGACGGACAGGGATTGGCTGGGCAAAAGAGGGAAACTTCTTAAGGGTGATGTATGTTAAAACTCACCAAACTGTAATAACATTTATGATCCGTACACTGAAAAATGGTTTCTTTACAGTAGAAGCAGATAAGATAGAAACAGCTATTATCTGTAAAAGGAGTCACTGAAAACAATCCCTTCTTTAGACCTAGTTTTCAATTTGGTTTCAGTGGCACCACACTGATTTCCACTTGAGTAAATTTTTCTACTTCACCCTCCTTTCATGTGTCTGTACTCTAACTATATCCCCACCTTTCTTCACTATACACTATCCAACACCCTCAGATTATGTTACCACCTATTCACCTAAGATACCCAGATCTATTAAACTCCATATTCACAAAGCCAGCTGTTACCAGGCATATCACATCAACATTTATAAACGTAAACCCTTTCTCCCCAACCCCACGCCCCCCTCAAAAAAAAACCTTGCCCTTCTTCTTGCCCTCTCTCTGCTAGTTAATAGCACATCTAACCTTAGATTGAAATCATTCCTCAACATCCTCCTTTTGGGGCAAGTTGCAATGTCCCACAGAAAAAAGGTTAAGTACGGAGCATCCTTTAGACGCTAGCTGGGCCCCTTACTATTCCAGTCCATTTTTCCAACTACCTTATTAACCCTTCCCACAACCACTCTAAGAGGATGAGAAAGAAATACGGTGGTGGCTCAGGCTCGGCTTCTGGAGAACAGCTACCACTTAGCCAGGACCAAGCACCCACCAAAGACTGCTACACACCTCATGTAACCTGCACTCCAGTTGCCCTAAATGAGACTGACCTCACAATAACCTAAGTAACTTGCTCAAGGTCATAAAGTAAAGTAGCGAAGCCAGGATTTGGGTACTAATTAGAACTACTGGACTCTATATAAAGTCCTTCATCTCTACAACACAAGAGGAAGACTGAAACTCTTAATTGGCAAAATCTGAGTGAAATTGGAACACTTTTCAGGCCACTCAAATAATAGGCATCTATCAACCACTTTAAAGTTGGGAAAGTGCAAGCTCGTTGCATGCAACTACCCAGAATCACCCAAACATTTCAAGGAACCCGTTAAGTCTCCCAATTCCGATCGTACAGCCTCTCCTGGCTCTACGAATTCCCCAGTGGGGTCATTCCAGCTCTCCAATCTCGTGCTTGCATGAAGCTGTCTTTTGGACTGCGGCAGAGGGTGACAATGTGACACTAATAAGAGTGAAAGCAGGACCTCCTTTAAAAAGACTGAGCAGAACTTCGGACTTGGTCGGGACACATTCTGGGTGCCGCGAACTCCATGAACACGCCACAAGCAACAAGTCCGAGGGTCACCTTGACCCCTGCTGCCTGCCAGGCCCAACTTCCGGCCAAGCTAGCTCCACTGGGAGAGCAACTACAGTACTAGGAACCCCCTTGGCCGCCGCCAAGTGGGTGCCGAGAGGCGCCGGGAGGTGACGGGCGAACTAACCCAAACCGTTAGCAGAAGCCTCGCGCAGCTCTGGCACCCCGACTGCCGGGCGCAGAGGCTCAGGCCACCACTTCTTCAGTCTCAGCCGGCGCAGTGAAACCCGTACCTGCGGGTTATAGGCATCGGAAGCCCCTGCTCCCACCAATTTCTGCGTGAAGCCACTAAACTTGTAGTACATTGCGCCCTGTGTCCGGCTACTCACAGCCGCTACCCGCGCGACGGCCCCAAGAAAGGACCCTGCCTTCCCCGTAGTGGTCCCAAGGCTCAACCTGAAGGACCCTGAGCCAAAAGACGGGCTATCCGGAGATCGCCCAACTTAAAATATGTAGTTTTAAATCACATAGAAGAATCCGGACTCCCAATTCCAAGAAAGGAAAAATCATCTGTACGAGACAGCGGACAGTCGCTATAGCGGGTTCTGAGGAAAATACGAGTTGCCTCTTTCCCCACGTTTTGGATTAGGGCAAGTGCCCAGACGACCTAAGAAATGCGCAAGCGCACGGCGTCCCAGGCCTGACGCTGAGGGACCTGCTAGGGTTGAGTAGGGCAGACTCTGGGCAGGGCCTAGGACGGGAGGGGCGGGGCCTCAGCGGGAAGACGCCTCTCCCTTTGAAGCGGACAGCCAGTACCGCCAGGCTTCCGCCTCCACCTGGTGCGTTGGGTTGAAGGCTTCTCAAGCTAAAATCTTTACGATTTTTAACTTGCTTATAGTCTCATTTCTTCCCTCCCCTTCCTGTCGCCTGCCCAGGAGTAGATACCCGTCAGCCAGGCTTCTCCTGCAACCAGGGAGTGGGATGCAAATAAAATTTAGAAACACCTGCTGGCAGCTGTTTGGTACAGAGGGATGTGAAGGATTTCGCCCCAGTAATATAAAGATAGCTTCCTGGGATTTATGTAGAAAAGATGCATAGAGACCTAAATTTCAGGCACCAAAACGTAAATGTTGCAGTTTTTCAGAACTAGTTTTTACTCTCAGTTGAGTTTTATGTGAACTGGTTACTCATCCTTCTCCTGACCTCTGCCCTTTGAGTAAATGAGGCAACGAGTGGAGGGAAGTGGACCAGAAATACTTGAGAAATCTGGGCCTTGAGCTTGAATGATTCAGGACTACAACTTTCCGTTCTGGTAGAATTGACTTTTGTTCAATTTAAACACGTTTTTTGAGCCTCCAGTATGTGCAAGGTACTGTATAAAAGGAGTATACTAGTTTTCTACCTACGGGGGTGGAGCAAGACTTTTCTTAGCTTTATGATCTAGCCAGAGTTTTTCAAAAGCCTATTATGGGTTCATTTATAGTGCACTTATGAAAGCATGTGGCAAACTTGATGGGTGGTACCCCTATATAATATTTTCCATAAATAAGCTCATTTAATCCTTACAACCATCCTATGAGGTAGGTGCTATTGTCATCACCATTTACAGTATAGGAAAATGAGGCCCAGAAAAGTTGAGTATCTTGCCCAGGGCAGCTATTAGTTAGTGGCAGAGCTGGCCATCTGACTTGAGTCTGTACTCTCAGGCACTACGTTGTAGCTAAATAGGTATAAATCCATTCTGATGAAAGGGGGATGAATGCCAAGTACTCCAGGGCTAGGGTGTACACCAGTATCCCAGCTTAGGCAGGTGTAAGCCCGAGGGTCTGGCATGTTCAGCAACACCAGTGCTTTGGAAAGCAAAGGTTTCGGGTTCTTCATATGATCAGCCAATCCAAAGTCACTGCTTTACAAGGCAGCATTATAATATAATGGAAAGAAAATGGTGGTTTGGGTTTGAGTCACCATTTTTTCAAGGCCGAGTGACTTACAGCTAGTCCTGTCCATTTCCTGAGCCTCACTTGCATCCTAGGTAAGGAGGAGTCGTTATCATAATATCGTCCCCCAGTAGTGTTCTGGGAACCAACAGTTCCGTGGGTTTTAAATCTTACACAAATGTTATGTTGCAGATCTTAACTTTGAGTCATTTTACTTTTTCATAGTTCTTGGTTATATATAAGGATCTTAGTTCTTTTCTTGGTTACTCTCATTTTAATTGATTGATTGACTGATTGATTATCAGAGTCACTCATACCAAGAAAGGGGACTGAATGAGCTTGCTAGCAATTACTGAGTGGAAGAAAAAGGTCTCTCAAAGAGTTTAGATTGAAAAGAGAAATTAAATGACTTAGTACAGTTCCCTATCTCCATCCCACCATCTCCTAGACATATTTTGAAAGAAGAAAGTAGAGAATATTACCCAACTCTTCGCAGCACTGAGGTGTACCAGCTTCTTGAGGTACAAAAGTGTCTGTCAACGCTGGTTATTTTCTTAAAGTTTCTGCCATCTGATTTTAGATCCTGCAAGACATAAATTAAGAATCCTGAAAATGTTACAACAGCCGGGCTGTTCAGTGGGAGATAAAATGTCAGTAGCAGAGTGTGGGTTGGGATGTCACATGGAGTGGCTGATCAGAGGAAGATTTTGTTTCATTTCCCAAATAAAACCCAGCACACTCTGACAGCACTAAAGCACCCTTTTCTCATTCTTATTTGCATACCCCACCCAGCACCAAAGCATGATCTGCCTTTATATCATGATCCGTTCAGGTTGGACCCTTGATTCTATTCGGAGTGGAAGCAACCATAATTCACAGGGCAGAGAAGCTTGTCAATCACCAAGCAATTTCTGTGAGTGCAAATGCCAGCCTGGCTCCGGTGAATCTGCATGCTGCTGCCGCTCCATTTGGGAGGGCTGTGTGCTAATGGCCTCTGGCAGGCCACTCTGTGAGAGCACTTAGGGATGGAAGACCAACATAAATTTTAAATTGGGTTGTACTGAATGTAGATGGGAACTGCCTCCTTGTGAAATAGTTTTTAATTTTTTTAATTCTCCAATTTTCTCAGAATCGACTTTTTTTTAAAAAAACCGACGTTTGGCGTGTCTGGCAGAGTTGAAGGTTGGAGGCCCTGTAGCAGTTCAGGTCATCCTGGTGGGCTCCACTACTTCCTCCAGTCCTTCCCTGTCTTCAGAAGGACTCATGTATCGCCTGGCTTCAGTGTCACCAGTGGGGAGCAGTAATATGAGTGATGAGCATTTGTTCTGTGATGATTTACCATGTGACGGGCTTCTCCAGGAAATACGGCTTCAGGAAACCCTGCTTTCCCCCTCTTACTCTCTGTTTGCTGCCAAATCTGAAAACTGAAGACCTTTTCTAACCTGGGGTAGCGTGTTTATGGGTGTGGATTTTGCCCATTCTAAGGGCAATTCCCTGATGGAAAAGAGATTATAATACTGTCACATTATAGTGCAGTGTGATCTTTTTTTTATCGTGGCTTGTGTCTACCGTCTTTTTGACAAAAAAGAAGGTAAAGGGAAAACATTTTCTTCAACATTTAAAACTGCTAGTGATGTCCCCAAGAAAAGCATCCCCAATAAAATACTGGAAAACAAAATGGAGAGCTACATGCACTTTGTAATTCTCAGAACAATGTCACCTGTCATGCAATTACTCAGAAATTTTCATGCAGCAGAATTAGAAAGCTCAGCTGTCATCTCCTATTCTTTTTGTCACATAAAGCTCTATCTGGTGTGGAAATTCTAAGTTTGTCTTTGAAACCTGCAATCTAGAGTATATCAATATTATTGAAAAATAATTAAACCATTGTTAAAGCACAGTATTTTTATAGCAAAGGAGTTGAGGGCCTGAATGGTGCGTGTCTCACTCACAACAGGGGGAGTGGCAGCTGGGACTGCAGTCTCTGGGACAGCTTTATTGCAGTACGTGCCGAACATATTGACATCAACTCTCTGCTCTGACCTTCTCATTGTTGAATGTCAATATGGTGTGCGAAGCTGCCTTACTTTTGCCTGCCTACTTTTTGTTGTGTGCAAGTCAAAAGCACATCCACAGAGATCGTGGATTTAACTCAATTTTGACACATCACATTTCATTCCACTGGTTAAGAAAGGCTGAGGTATGAGTCATAATTTATTTTAAATCATTTCAAATACACTTAATTATGCTTTAAAATTTTTGAGATCCAGAACAAGAGTCATGCAATTTTACATTGATATTATCTATAAAAATACAGTGGATACGATACAGACTGAGCGGATTAGCAGTGGCTTTCTCCAGTCTGGGGTCAAAGGGTGGTGCCTCATTACTGGAGAGTCCCACTTTCTGCATCCTGCATGCCTGAAACATTAGAATGTTTTGCAATGTGCATGTGTGCCTTTTGTAAGCCCATATACACACAAATAATATAAAATCCCCGAAAGGCATAAAAATTAGAATTTAAAAATGTTTCCACATACTTACAACACAAATTACCAATTAATTAGAATGTTTTTTTTATCACCCCCTGTGCAGATGTAAGGAGACTATTGAGTGATAGTTTCCAAGTGGTAAGCCACAGGAAGAGTCACCCAAGGGCCCTTCTGCCCATTGACGTTAACACTACAGTGGTTCTTCACCAGGCTGTCGAAGAAATGAGGGAATGAATGAGTCAGTGGGCATATGAATGAATGAACTAATGAACAAACAGTGAAGGAACATCATCTCTACACATTACTGTGAGACATGAACAACCATCCTGGGTGGTTATTTCCACGAGTTCTTTGAAACTGGGTGGTCAAATTGAGAAGATTAAGAACGATACACCTGGGTATCAAGAAGGTGAATGTTGCTGGATCATTTTCTTTTGAGGCAGAACTTTTTGTCTTTGAAAAAATCTGACACTATCCAGTATCAAAACACGGGGCGCTCCACAGCCATTGAGCATCTGCATGTCCAGGTCCCAGGCCTGCACGAGGCCTGTGACTGTGGGCTGCTGTCTTAACCTCTTTTGGCCACAGAATAAAAGTGTCAGCTTAACGTGGTGAGTGCAAGGATTAAATAAGGTAAAAGAAAATCTGTAAATATATAAATGTCTACATGGGAAATAATACTCAGGAAAATAGTAAAGGGGTCAAATACATGGTGACAGAAGATGACTTGACTTTGGGTGGTGGACACACAATGTTGTATACAGATCGCGTATAAGAGGAATGTAGACTTGGAAATTAAATAATCTTATTAGCCAATGTCACCCCAATAAATTTAATTAAAAACTAGATTTGTAGTCACTGATAGAAACCCAAAATTAATTTAGCATGATAAAAAGCATTAGAATTGTAAGTCTGTTCAATTCTGTGTTCATGTAATGCAGCAGATTATAATAAAAATTGTAACCTAAAAATCTTTCCAATCCTCTCACCTTTGTCCCTTCTGCTCTTC